CGTCCGCTGCTGTAAGTACTCATCGTAGACAGTTGACCAAATGCATCAATCTGACTCTTAGCGATCACAAGTGTGTATCGTCAGCATAGCTTCTTCTCGGTGTTACCTATTTCAGATTTAACGGCGCATTTCGCTCTAGTTGAACTGTAAATATGCTGGCTACAATCGAGTTAGAAATCGACCTGACCACCAGATAGATATTGCATTCTTTCAGAAGACTAAGTGAAATAGATGGTGAAAGGGGCGTGGTTCGCAGTTACGCCTTCGACAGTTGGTCCAATCACGAGTAACGAGGTCGGACAAGCATCCTCTAGTGTGTGGGTTGTCGAATTACGTCATATAACTGCCCCGGAAGTTCGTTTGACAGTCAGAAAGCTGCAATTCTTGGCATGGCTAACACGGAACATTTTGCCAAATCTATGAACGAGATGCTGCTGTTTAAGTTTATTCAAGTGGTTTGGAAGGCGCACTGGGTAGCATACGTGTGCTTTTGATAAATTCTCGTCAAGCCAGTAGAGGGGGGGGGGGTGAAGGAGGAGGGCCAATGGACCTAATTTCAGCGGTAGGGGGCGCTCACCGATCGTTCATACGGAACTCACTCGTTCCGTTGTGCCTTATGGACTCTCTCTCGAGCCCAACCAGCAGCCGCACAGCGGCGCATGATATATAGGCAGAATGCTATTACCCTTGTCTTTGTCGGTAATAGGACCTAATTTCGTCATCAGCTGGTTGGCCAGCTCAGACAAGCGGCTGGTGTATGGGAGAGGGAAGAACGGGTTAGGTCGATGGTCTCATCGCACATTCTTCACTCTAAACAATCTTAAATTTATCACGGCGCGCTGAATCGCGTGGCATAAAAAGCTGCTAACCGACGGAATAGTCCCGACTTCGCAGTCAACTCAGCATGTTTGTATGGAGTTGCCAACCAGTAGACCGGGCATCCGACTGCCATAGATCCTTAATGTGGCCTTTATAGCACTCCCACTCAGTGGGATCCGAGCTGCACTGCACTTTTTTTCCTGCTAAGTGAAGTCCTGGTTAGTGCACCTTGTGGACCAGGAGGTATGTTGGTAAGTCACCGTGCGGGTATTCGCTATGCCAGCCACATGCGCCCTCTCGCGTCTGCGAGTTTCTTGGGACCGAGTCCCGATGAGGGAGGAGAGAGTGCGGTCGTTGCGGTGCAAGTCCACCATCACTATAGACGAATTCACACTCAAGTCACTGTTCCTGCTCCCCTCCCCACCCCCTGCTGCGGAGCACATGGTGGACATCGTCAGTCGCGACGGTCGAACTGTCGGATTGTCAGTTTGGTTTGACTGGTTTGGATGAATTGCGTTTCGAGTGGACAAGGCGCGAAGGACCCACCGACCTAAACAATCGAATTGAAAAACTGCGAGTGTGGACACTATAACCCATCATTACTATGAATATTTTCAAGTTGTGAAAATTCTCATGGAAGGGTTGAGAAGACCAGTTAGCGAGCATATGCGCGCTTTCGATGAATTCTCGCTGGGCCAGTACATTTAAATGGGAACAGGGTACAGGTAGAAGATACGAATGATAATATAAATCGATTACAGTTCGTCTTTTCGTGCACTTGGGGTGTGGAAGTGAGGGGGAAACAATAGAAGACCGTGGGGGTTAGGGGTAGAAGTGGGAGGGTCTGGAGAAGCGCGTGCAGTCAACAGACCTCTGGCCACGGTAGGCACGGGACTCAGACCAAGTTCCACCGGGTGCCCGAGACCGGCTTCAGTAACCCGATGGCAGTCGTCTCTGCTGTTACTAACAGAAGTTCGAAGGGAATTTTTTTGAAATCGCACATGCGTTCACTAACTGATCTTAGGTATCCTTCTATCGGAGCTTTTGCAACTCTACTCGAAAGATTTTGCGAACAAGGACCAGAAACGTTGATTTGACCACTTTTCGGTTTATAAGCTACTCTTAGCCAGTGAATAGCCTGTGTGGGCTCTAGACCTGAAACCCCATCTGCGTTTTTGGGATCAGAAGAGGTCGCACTCGCAACCATAGAGAAACTTGTCAATCTAAGTTGATCGGAGTCCGCTCTTTGTCTTCTTGAAGCAAAGATAGCGACGTGTGCCAAAACAGGCCGAAGTCATCTGGGACAAACATCATAAAACCGCTGCAGACCCCATGTGTGACCAGGCCATTTGCCCGCGAACAGAGATCCCCATAACTGGGTCACGCGGCCGTTAGATGCGTTTTTGGTTTTGCATACGATGGAGTATTGACCGGAAATGGTGTGAGATACGCTTCATTTGGAGATTACTACAGAAACCTCCGACGGCCAGGAAAGAGAGCTACGAAATAACTTTTTCTGAGTATACATGAGATGGCACTAAAATGGGTAATTTACGCGGTCAAACTCTGGCATAAACGGCAGTGCATGATCATAAAACGGATTCTGTGGCCATGATCGACAAACACGCGTAATTAGGGCCTCTGTTCCGGATAAGATGTTAAAAATCGATAAACCTGATTCAACCGCAATGCCCAGACCCAGCAACAACAAATAAGTCGCAGGCTGCCATGCAAAATCAATTTTTAAAAATGGCCATTTGTTCAGACGGACGAACCGCTCTCAAAATTCCTCACAGCTGACCTTGTAATCCGACTCAGGTCTTCAGAATATTCATTGGTAAGTTTGCATTGACCTGGCCGAGGGTTAAAATCAAACAGATGACCGCCCTAGAAAGGCGTAACCTGGTTGGCAGTTTCTTTTCAGAAATTGCAGGTGTTTATACAAGCAAAAGTGCCAACTATTGAGACAAAAGCAAACAGTGGGTGTGTGTGACCTCATCGGCACAACGGTGACAAAAGAGGTCTCACATAAAGCAGTGGCTCCCGCAGCATACGAGTTAAACCCAGAAGTGCGCTATTCTCAGCTGACTCGTGCCTGCCTCATGCCAAAGCAGACAGCATTGTTAGTATACCTGATCGCAACCGACAGGACAACGAGCCCGTGGCCCAGAGGTTAGAGGCGTGGACTTCTAACAGGTCGCGAGTTCGAGCCTCGGATGTTCCACACTTCATGGTTGGGTGCGACTGGCTGACGACGGCTAATAAGCCAGAAATGGCCATTCCAGTCTCCATTGTTGTGCGTCATCCTCAGCTGACTCGTGCCTGCCTCATACCTGAAACCCTAGAGAATAGACGGCATTGTTAGTATATCCTATTGCAACAGACAGGACAACGAGCCCATGGCCCAGGGGTTAGAGGCGTGAACTTCTAACTAACAGGTCACGAGTTCGAGCCTCGGGTGTTCCACCTTTCGGGGTTCGGCATGACTGGCTGACGACGGCTAATAAGCCAGAAACGGCCACTCCAGTCTCCCCTGTCTTTGTTAGTAATGCTATCCTGCCCATATTACGCGCCGCTATGCGGCTGCTGGCGGGGCTCGAGAGAGAGACCCAAGGCACAACGAGACGAGTGAAGTCCATAACGCGATTGATGAGCGTCCCTCTACCATTGTATATACCCGACCTAAACCGACAGGACAACGAGCCCGTGGCTCAGTGGCTGGGGCGCTGGACTTTTAACCAACAGGTCACGAGTCCGCGCCTCGGGGTTGCATACCTTGGGACTTGGTAGGGCGGGCTGATGACGAGAAACAAGCCAGAAATGGCTGCCCCAGTCTCTCTTCTCTTTGACCACAATGCCATCCTGCCTATACAGGGCATGATTTTGACGGACGATAGCAGCTTTGACGCACATTTCGTAAGGATGAATCCGCATCCTTAAGGACGCAAATTTGCCCAGTCACGGGCCGCCGTTCGAAGTACAAAAACGAGAAATATTGACCGACGGTCAATCAGCTGGAGGTTGAGTGTGTTTTGCAACACTAACTAACCAGGGAACATAATGAACAACTCGACTTGTGATGGATGAAATCACAAGTCATCGAAAGGATTAATTCAAATTTGCTGTGACAAATGGACAAATTTATATGTATCTCAGGCCAACATCTTCCAAGCCAACTGACTCGTTTGGTTGAGCCAGAACTAGCAGAGAAAAACTTTAAATTATAACCAATAATCCTGCGAATGTGTAAACACAGAGTGGGAGGGGGAAGTTACGAAGTTGGGCGGTACAAAAAAGGCTGAAAGCGTTCAAAAGCTTAAGGCAACATTGGAGCAAGCATGTGACAGTTCAACTGCCCTTACTGGTCACTAGATGGCGGGTGTACGCAGGCAACAACGCCCACGCACGGACTGTCAGAGAAGAGTTGGGGCATTTAGGAGCCGCCAGCTGGTCGTGCGTCTTCATCGTACGGACGCAGGGGGACTGTCGCGTTGGCGACGGCTACTCGCCACTACCCGCCGTCACAGGTGGGCTGAGGAAATCGATCCTAAATGTCATAAAACCAGACGACACGACACAACAGCATATATGAACGAGCCTCATAGGAGGCCTACAGCTGACTCCCAACGCGGTGACAATCCACCCTAGTCAGTTATGTCGAAGCAGCCCCGACAGAAATAAGAGATGTGCTCTTCTGGTCTACGTTATTAGCGAATGGACGAAAAGACAAGACAAATTAAACTCGTACATGCGCACGGGTGGCTCGGTATGATAGGATGTCACTCCTCCTCCTTTCCATCCCTCGCCTACAATGAGAACGGGAGCAAGAGATGGCGGGGGGGGGGAGGTGTGGTGAGGATTGCCGTCGCCCGTCTGGAGGTGGGCGTCCCCTCCTCGAGCAGAGGAGAGCGCAGTGGCAGGGCCGGCCCGTTACCATGCGACGAAATTGTCAATGCTCTCTTTTCAGTAGACGCGTAGATGAGTTCGAGTGGGAGGCGGCGGCGGCGGCAGGGGGGGGGGAGGGGGGCCGCCAGGCAGTGAGCAAAAGGGAGCAGAAAGCACAGAGCGCAGCTCCGGGATGGAGGCTAAAACGAAACAGGACCAAACGAACGGCAGCAGCATCAGCTCGGGCACGTCCACACCCCTCCGCAGAAGAGCCAGTCTGGCAGTGGGGCCACCAGTTAGGGATTACGACATTGGCCCTCCGACAGACGGGTCTCCGCAATCTGGAGGATGCTGTTCAGGTGGACGAGTGCGGCCAACACAACGAAGACATGAAAGATTTGGTGACTCTGAAACTGAGGAAGCAAAAGATGGGTCGTGTGAGGATTAGAGGGATAAGCATCTTGTAGGAGCATACACTGAGGACAAGCACTAAGCCGTACAGTCGGAACTGAAATATCTCTTCAAATTGTAAGCGGTGCAAGTGGCCGCGATAATGAATGGCTGGCTCTTCGTTGAACATCCTTCCAGTCAGGTGTTAGTCACACAAGGAAAGGGACACTATTCAACTAGCGCAACATTGCTTGCCTCCAAAGTCCTCCAAATTACGCTGAACGCACCGAAGACCCGATAGAAAACGAACTAGACAGAAACCTAATCTACAACCTAGCCTGTTTTGAAAGTAGCGGCATCCACACCGGACAAGTTTCTAGAGACTAGAAATCGCACACCTATAAGCACAGAAAATTACTTTACAGGACGCGAACCGCTGGAGAAAGGCGGGCGCAAACCGCGGGACACCGACTCGTGTTTGAATAATAAAGCATGATGTGGACCTCCAATACCACCCTGATTCGATCGCGAGGAGGGGACTGTTTGCTAGAATGGGCGGTCGCGAACCACATCAACGCTTCCAATGTACGAAAGGCCGTCCCACCACCCGGCTTACTGTAACAGATTTAGTGAATTCCATACGCTACTGTAGCCTGGGCGGGTAACTTCACTCGGATGTAATAAACTCCTGGCCCTCGGTCAAGGGCTCGAATCGCAAGTGGTTAGAGCTTTGGCTGTACTAAGCCTTGTCCTTGCTGTTGTGGGGGTTCGAGTCCCACCGCGACCGCCGAGTTTTTCACAAATGGGTCAAATGGATTATTCGAATCCGCCAAAACCGATAAGGCACTAGCATACGACACACAACACTTCGGTCAACAAAAGCGTCCTATGGGCCATGGAACAATTTCTGAAAATATGAAGCAACATCCAACCTCTGTTACCATGACAACTAGCACCACTGCGATGCCCCAGACTCCAGACCCGCACCCAGCAACTTGTAGACCGCGACTTATGGGGCCTCTAAGGCTCCAACGTGGATAAATTCGCCAGTTTAAGCGGCTAGGTTAACGTGAAACAGTGTCAAGGTTTTATATTTCCTAAGGACTGCGTAAACTTGGAGCAAAACCTTCAGGACCAATCTTTTCAGGTTCAGTCAAAAACTGATAGGGATATTGAATCTGAAATTTATAAACTGAAAATATATTTCATAAGTAATATAGCAGTTTTTACCGGCGCGAAACAGTGCAAATTGGCCCACGGCCGGCGACACGCTGGTTGCGGTCGACCGTTATTTACAACCACGTATTAAAGTCCCCAAAGATAGACGAAAAATTAGGTAAGATAGATTCTTCCGGTTGATTCTCAATGGTTGTACTGATTGAATTTCATTATCTGGCAAAGGTGGGACACGTCTCATGTTGTATTCTCACTCTGCAGGAAACTACATATTCGAGCCAAATCCACCAAATCGAAGACAATTAGGCTGACAGTTCAAACAGAATTTCCTAAGCAATCAACCTAAAATTCATCGGATGACTACCAGGCAAGTTGTTAAGGTATGCTAAACTTGTTTATACACACAGAGCTCGCATGTGCACCTGCAAGTCCCGCCCGCCCGCCCCCAGTACAGTGAGTCGCCTTCATTTTAAGAACATGCTGGCAGAATTAAATTGGATGTTTAAGATATGGATCTTAGTGGAAAATTCCTGAAATGCAGCTGCCCAGACATGCACACAAAGCTCTGTGAGCGCAAACAAGTTTGGTGCATCATATCTACGTCAGGTGTAGATAAGAGTCAACCCGACCACTATCACAAATAGCAGGGGATTCTTACTCATGGAGTAGAGCACGGGATACGTACCCCCTCCCCTCCCCTCTTGAACTATCTTTCCATAAAGTGCCCATTTTAGACAATAAAACAAGCATGCAGTGGAAATACGATTTTTTTCGGCTTTATTTATTTAAGAAAACAACGTTCCATATTGACCCAACTGTGAAAAACTCGGCGACCTCGGCGGGATTCGAACACACGACAGTAAGAGGAAGGCTTTAGTACAGCCAACGCTCTAGCTACCTGAGCTACGAGGCCCCACTGGGAGACATGAATTTAATCACATTTGGGCCAAGCTACCCGTCCAGCCTACTGCAATGTCTGAAATCTGTAGCAGCCGCTCCAGTTTCCCTTTTTTCCGGCTCCGTTTTGTCGGTCGATGGCCGCGACAAGCGTTGACAGGCCGCTGACACACGACCACTCACACCGGCTAGAATTGGGGCCCCTCCTGTGCAGCTGCAGTGACTCCCGGCTGCCCTCACAAACTAGTATCACCTCATGCGCGTCGGACGACCTGGCTTGATACCCGTGAGCCCCTGTGATTATGCGTCCCCCTAATCCGTCCAATCTCATGACAAGCACTCAGCCAGTCATCCCCACCTACTGACCCAGACACTCACTCCCGCGTAAACGACACACCGCGACTGACGCTCTCCGTGAACGGACGCCTATCTCTGTTGCAAGCAAACAGCCAACTGACGGCAACCTGCCCTGTGTACAGAATAAACCATTCCTCACAGCTCCCTGACTGCTGACATTAGACGAAACGAACTTATTGTGCGTGGTTTAAGTTGATCTCACATCATTGACCGCCACAAATCCACCAAATCTGATACAGTAAGCTGACCGCCCGAGCGGGATTTCCTAAGTAATCCATCTAGAATCCGCCAGATGACTACCAGGCTCACGTAATTCATAGATGTTTTGGTAGATTTTGAATAATTCATGTTGACTCAACTGTGAAGAACTCATGGCACCAAGGGGAAGGCTTTAGTACAGCCAACGCTCTAACCACCTGAGCTATGAGGCTCCAACACGTTTCATCTCCTAAAAGGCCCTTATTGCCACCATTCATGTATTCCTGCACCATATTTCAGGAGAAGGGTGTGCATATCCGTGTCCCACCATCGGACGCAAAAATAAACGCCGAATTAGTATGATACCATTTGCCCCTCTGACATCTAACAAGGTTTGAGTCTGAGACCGAACTGTCTCGCTTGTATATTCAAAGTGCTAGAACAACGTGCAAGAAAAAACATTCATCCGGGCATCTGCGCACGTATTTAGTGACATTTCAAGTGGCCAAGCGAAGTAAGTCATTGGCAAGATCTTACTTCGTAACCGTACCTGTATGGGGTTGAGGTTTGGGTTAGGGGTGAGGGGTTGAGGTTAGGGGTAAGGGTTGGGGTTAGGTTGGGGCTTGTCAACTGCAGGCACGACTACGAAATCAGATCCGACCGTGTCATTTTCAGAGATTGGACTGTCCCCAGTACCGTCCGCCTCACTGTGGCCTGAATTCCGAGGGGGTGCAATGCCTAGACCACCAAGCTAAGCTTCCCGTCTGGATTGGAGGTGGTTATACCCCACGTCTGCTGAGCCTTGAGCACAGCTAACTTCATCCGGTTTACCAGTTAGGCAGTAAATATTCTGGGCAGAAACTCCTCGCATCCTGCCGAAGTCAGCGATAGTGCTCCCGTTAGGACCTGCATTCCGGCAGACATGATCCAATTTAGACGAGCTTGCTACTAATCCCAGAAAATTATCCAAAATAAACCGCACGGTACTGGTGTGCAAGCGCTGTTCGCGTCGTTAAGTGCTTCCATGTCTACTTCTCTTCCGGTACACTGCTGCCTGCATAAAAAAAATATCACGCACACCCCGTATGAGGATGTGCGTGAGAGGAGGACTGCGAGATCCAGGCAAAGGCAACGCTCCCTGCTGCGAAAGTTGCATTGTGAATTCTAGCGAGCCTAGAAACCTGACCTTGACCGAAACTGGCCCGGAATTGCAACTGTTTACGGCGTCAAAGCCCTCGATTGCTCTGCCACTTGGAGCGTCGAGGCGAGGGCGAAATTGCCCACGACCCCATGCGCCTGTCAAGACTGTCACGGTAGTTACAGTGAGTGACCGATCTCACGAAATATCGACCAAAATTCGGAAATGCCTTTTCGATTAGGAAGAATTATTTAGGCACCGTTACAATATGGATTATCCAGCGGCATAATCCTATAATGTTTCGGACTCGCCAGGGTGTCGGCCTTTAAATGCATTTCTTTGTAACCTCCTACAGAAAGTGCACTTGGTAAAAAATGACTGCTTACGTGGCATGCATTTTTAAAATTGATTTTTGATGGTCTTATAAACTCAAATATATTTTATTAGGAGACATGCTGAAGTAGGCAAGCAGGGCAGGATTGAAAGGTACCAAAAAAATTCGCGACGGTTCACCAGCTGCATCCTGTCGCTTCATAACATAGACAACGAGTAGGAAGGATACAACAGATTTGAATTGGTGCAGAAAATTAGTGTAAAAACAACAAGGTTATAGTTTTGGGTAAGGTCGGCTAATCGATAAAGTTAGTAACTTAAACACCGTATGGGAAGAATAGTGAAAAAAAGAGTCGTTAAGAGCAAAAAGGGGGAGAGGGGAAGGGAAAATCATGGAACTAGAGGCTACCATGGCAACGGTAGGCTTACCACGTGTTCCAACTGTTTACAAAGATCTGGTTTCACCCGCCGTATCTAGGCCGCCTCTAGGTAACGCAATGTCCGAACTTGGGAGGGGGGGGGGGCACTTAAGGTTGTCTCACAATGCACGAGACGGCCCCCCGCAGCCGAAAATACTGGGTTGTCTAGCAAGTCTGCGATTTTTTCCCCAAGTAACACTTTCTCGTCAAAATTGGCCTTGTCGTGGCAAGTGTGGCATATTATTCGAAAACAGTTTTCCTGCTCTACGCGGTGACAATGTCATCGTCTTCTGGAGGCATTCAATATTTATTGATTTTTTCGGCCTAGATAGCCAAGTGTCAATCAGGGCCCAAAAGACGCACAGCTGATCGTGACATGTGCGTTGTGTGCGCAGAGGACGTTATGCCTGAAAGGACTACTCACAATACCAGTTCACTGAAACCAAAAACCGCAAGCTCGAAATCAAAGCCGCCCGCTGCTCCGGACGACTGACTGGCTTCAATGAGGAAAGTCCGAGAGTACTTTTGAAAGAAGACGGTCCGCAGACGAATAGAATTGGCGGAAAACATTTCACTGTCACTATCAGACTTCCCTCGCTCACTTGGAGTCGATGGAAAAATGTCAAAAACCTAGAGCTTGAGTGCCGCATGTTTTGTCGGAGAACAAACATCGGCGCTTCATTGTTGTTGGCAATTTGCTTTCACGGCTCGAAGGCATGGTCACTGATGACATAACAGAGAAAGGAGTGATTGAACAGCACTCGACTCTGAAAGACCATGATTTGCACATGATGCGATTTTAGGATAGTAATCAGCTACGAAATGTTTGAGCAAAACCTGACGGTAGACAAAAACCTCAATGCAATCCAACCCCTTCTTTTAAATAAAATCCAACCGTCGAGGCCAATTGATCCTTCAGCATGACAACGACTGAAGTCAATTGTGGAACTCTGCTCCATTCAGTCAAAAGTCTCAACCTTGCTCCGTCAAACTGTCACCTTTTCCGGTCGCTCCCAAACCAAATGAGTGGCTTTACAGTCGACTAGAAAACTGGTCTGACAATTGTTTCGATACCGGTTTAGGCGTTTATAGAAATATCATTGGCAAATTGGTGGAGATGTGGGAAAGAAGCCTACGCAACAGCGAAGAACACGCCACTGGTTGGCATGCGCTTTTTGCTTAAAATTCCGTCTTCATGAAGAAGCCTTCGAAAATCGCAGAGGCTTATCTGACAATCCAATACAATGTCAACTGATTGAAGTTTGTACTAGAGCAAAAACCGAGACACTGGAGACCACCGAAGTTGGCAGAATTACAGGCAAGTAATAACGTAAACACCAAGAAAAAGTTAACGGATCAGGTGAAAGAAAGTTCCCCAGAAAGGTTTTTATTCAACGGCAAAACATTCGGCTTTGTTATTTATGGTGCTACCCGAGGGATGCCACCCAATTCCTCGCGCTTTTAGTGCGGTGGGGTGGATTTTTTTTCGACTGAATCCTAAATATGCTCGATATATGGTTGTAGTCTAAAAGGAGCTGCTCTTTCGCTGCTTAAAATTACAACTAGATCGATGATTTAGCGACGGGATCATGGGAACACTGAAAAACCAGCTCCGTTCAGCTACAATCAATCTTGACTCTTAAGCTGGATACGTTGATGACATTTTTGCAATACCGGATGAAAAGCTCGATTTAGACACCCTTCTGGATAAAGTGAAGCAAGCTCACTCAAAATTAACTTTCACTTTTTAAAGAGAAGAAGAAATGCCTCACCCTTCTGGACGTTCTACTTACTAGAACGACTGATGGGACAACTCGTATAAGTGTATTTCGTAAGGAAACGTGGGCAGGGCGATACACAAACGTCGACAATTTTATTCCTCTAGGTCAGAGATAAAGCTTAGCTCGCTGTCTAACCAACCGAAATGGGAGAAAATGCACCCCGGATACGCTGAAGACCAAACTCACCTTTAGACGAAACACCCTGCTAGAAAATGGTTTCCATGATAAGTTTATTACGAGATATATGGAAGAACTTCCGGTAAAAACAGATTTGGCGAAAAGGGAGCCATTCCTCACATTACCGTTCCGAATATACCTGGCCAGCGAACTTCTACAGTGTCGTCCGAACTTTGCTATTGTGCGCATGTAGTCAGTAGTCAGGAGAAGACTCAGTTTTCTAAAGCACTCTGCTTCTTCGTCTTGGAGATTGGGCTTTCATACTTCTTCATTGCGCATCTAGGTCTTCACCTTCTCCTGTGGGACAGGTTATACTGATCAAACAGCAAGGCCTCTGTCCAAGCGGAGGTGAGAGAACCATCCTGCCTGGCTGAATCGAGGCATGGGAAAGTCTGACCCTAGCCCAAATAGGGCCAACTTGGTTGACCGAGCCGTCTGGTAGACGTCAACCAAGCATTTCAGGTCTTCAACAAAGCACGCCGGCGCCAGCGCATATTTGTGACAGCGGGGGCGGTGGGCATACGGCTAATCAACCAGATCTTTTGTCTGCAGAACCCGCTGGTCCAAGTCCTCAAGCTTCCGTGGTTCAAGTTAGGCCCTACATGTTTATACCCACATCTTGGCATACCGTGTTAGAGCGTGAAACATAAGCACCACTCGCTGGCAGATTTCCCACTCCCTCTCCCTCCTTCCCATGCTCCTGACGGAACTAAACTGTAACTATCCCTCCACCCTCTCCCCTATGACTATTATTCATTGGCTGTTCCCAAGTTTGTGGCTCTACCGCTGCTTACAGTACAGGTCTCATGAGAAATAACCGAGAACGTACGTTCGCCTAGAGTACCATCTTCAAATCCTAACATCTTAAGACAGTGAAGAAATACAAAAGCGAAAAAACCGTTTAAGGGCGTACCATTCGAAATGAAATCTGCATGCATCCTTTCTAGAAATTATGATTAAATTTATGAAAGCGGCGAAACTTAACCGGCAAATTGACTAAGAAGTGATCTTTCCCAGGTGTGTATGTATGATTAACAGGCGTAGACGACAAGATGGTCAACCAAAGGCCAGAATCCCATGTGCTCGTCTTAGAAAATGCTGCTCGTTAGGCAAACACTCCTACATGCAACCAAAGTAGGAGAATTAAGTGGTGAGTTTCGGCGCTTACGGCAAACTTGACTGACAGAAGTCGAGCATTAGAATCTTCCTGTTATTGACGGTAGAAAGCCCCCTTACTGATTGGATGATAACGCACGAGCACCTGTTAAGACCGAAACGAGAGGAATATGGTGCTTGTCGTCACCAGTGTCACGTGGAAGGGGCGTGTACAGATCCACCTTGATTGAATTACAATAGGCATTGTCTGGGAAAAAGTCAACGAGGTGGGGACTGGTGCTCGGGAACTGTGGTAGGAACAACGCCCTATCCAAAACGCCATGAGTGTTCGCCTTTGTCTTGAGACTTCAGGAAAGTGGCCGAATAACGACGGACAATCGGCAATCGAACATTTTATCTACTAAGGGCATGCAAAATCGGAATGATCAGTACTGAATTAATTGTTATCAATCGGTCAGGTCCTAAATCCTGACGTCAAATACTTGCGACTTGAACTGGGACTAGCAGGCAGTTGAAGTACAGTGCCCAGTCACTGGTTCACGGGCTAAAGGTCTGCCAGGTGTGATCTGGAATAGTGAAACGCGACTGGGTGTAGTAATGAGGTGGTGGGGCTGCACAACGACTGTTCGACTACAGCAGTTGATCCATTCCAGGCCTATGCCAAACAGAAACTTCACTTGGGGATTTGGTGTGACGTTGTTCTTGCATCAACCATCAGTAACGGTGTCGCATGGTACAAGAATTTCAACGGTAATGTCCCCTGATAGACCAGCATGAAAGACTTTCTTAGTCACTTCTTTTGGTGGCACTGTTTACGAATGGGAATCGGGTCAGCTTTCAGACGGGTGTGACTGCATGGATCAGCACTCCTCACTACGTCGAAACCTAGATTAGCGTCTCAGCCATCAGGAATTCATCCTCGTGTGTTTCGTGGCCTTTACAGTCGTGTTCGAATTCCTTCAAGGGCACCTGTAATCGATCACGATGCATGAGAGAACGCCGTCGAAGTCGCTACGAATGACTCAAGACCACTTGAGAGTAACAAGCGCTACAGTCCCGCTGAATGGTATGAAACTGTGTGCTTAACGTCACCCTTAGAGTCCAGTAAGGTGAGTGAGCAGACCGCTCAGGCCGTGAAGACAAACCACCCTGTCATTAGAGAGGGCCGCCATCCAGCCCGGGGTGTTCTTAGCGGACCTCAATTGTTTTGATGGTGTTGAAGAGTGTGCTGTGTGTCAGACACACACGCCACGGCATCCGAAGCGAGTCCAAAAATCGGCGCGTTGAAGGCGCAGATGGCTGCATCGCGATCACCCCCTGTATGCACAACGAAGTTACTGACCAGATGTCCTGGGTCTCGCTTTCTGCCCAAAATCGGTAGAGTTGAGGTGACATCTAGCATCGAAACAATCGCACTAATAAGGTTTTATTGAAGTTTGTCAAAACTAGCGCCAGATCTCACAGAGGACCAAGGCCTCCTTCGAAACAAGGGCCGTCAACGCAAATGCTACCAACTTTCGGTCGGTGGACCCATGATGGTCTCAAGGACACTTTTTGGCGGCACGACCTATGGTCTGTGTGGTCGGCGGAGTGAGTGGGCCTGCTGCCGGCAGATGGCAGTAGAAAGGAACCGTTGGAGGTAGGGTTAGCTTGCAACCCGGAAAGGACCGAATCAGTCACAAGTAACTTCGTTCGTCAAAAGTCATTGCAGTATTTTAAAAGTACTCTAGTCGAGGCCGCCGGAATGTGAGTTTAATTTTGACGCAGGCGGCGTCTACCGGTGCATATATCTTTAAAAGAAATTCTCGCGTTGCTTCAGAAACTGGAATTCAATGGTTTTCAGCCAGTGGGACGTAGTCTTCTATGGCTAGACAACAGTCGTGATCTAAAACCTCAAGCCGTGGGAGGCTTACAAATCGTGCCAAGGTGAGCAAACAGTTGTCATAGGGCGGGGACGAAAATCTGACAAGTTTGCTTGAGAACGGGAAGCAGCTCATTGGAACAGAGTCATGATGTTGCTGACTTGTGGGAGAACTCGCTCGGCTGCCCATTGTCAAGGCGTTTAGTGCAGAAATTTGACCGGAATTTCAAGTGACTAGTCGAGCTAGTTGGCCCTGGGTCGATCGATTTCTTTGCCTCTTTCGTTGCCTTGACCTGCCGGTGGGTATTCGAGGGGTTCGACGGCATCTTGCTTTACGTGTCGACACTTCGATGGAGGATGGTCGAACCCCTGATTCCCCTTCGGGTGTGTTCGTCGCCGGACCGTGTCTACTCAGTTTGGTGTGACTGTCTCGCCCTGATCTCTGTGTATGTAACGACACGGAGGTTTATAGGTCGCAGGAAGGTCTAGATGCCTGCAGATTGCCTAGTTCGGCCAATCAAAAGCTCCAATCGATTTTTTGAATTAGACAAGTTGACCAACAATAACGCGCGAGGAGACCAATCAGGGCAAAGAAGCGAGATAAATCGATGCGAAATCATGTCTTAGTTGTAGGCGGTCACTAAGATGGCTTTAATTTGGGTTTAGATTTTCAAACACTATATGCGATCGTTCATCATCAGAGGTTGCAGTCCAGCGCTGTAAGGGAACGGTAAGAGAAGGGGAGGTCGGTGCTTACTACCACGTGAGGCGTTTTGCGTCTATTAGCAGGGTGGTGGGACTGTTGCTCGTCAAAAACGCAAAACTCGGAATAAAGCTACCACATCTTAATCGCCTCATTCTCCTCGGTTAGCTTGCATAGGAATCGTAGCCAAGATCGGGTTATGTAGCCCCACCTGATGGACACAATACTGTTGAGGTTGCGATTAGGGCAACAATTTCTCAACCACTCAAAGTATAGCCGCGCATACCCAAGAGTTTTTCTTTTGCATACAACTACTTGGCCTCGTCGCCTGTACGTTCCCCGGCCCGACCCATAAAAACCCCTATTACCACCGGTCTCGTATTACAGGTAGCTGGAGTTTGTTTACTTCAGATGGGGCTACATAACCACACCTGACCGAATCGTATTTTTGCCATAAAATGTAGTTCTGACAGGGTAGACAACAGCTCCCTTCATCCTGCCGGTCCGACAAGCATAAATTAGTCAAACATGGGGATGGAGACAAGATCAAGCAGAGAAGGGATGAGAGTCTGAGTGTCTGCTTAACAATCCCACTTACCCAGATATCAAATTTTCCTGGGTAGAGACGTTCAGGTATGCGCATGGCATAAATCACTGCGCCCGAGATGTAGAGGGCAGCCATAAGTACAAGCCAGCCAAGAGCCGGCGAAGTCACCGTCTCCCAGAAGCCCTCCATTAGGGCGTAATGAAGGCATGGTATGACACCAGAAAGACCCAGTGCGATGAAGAGGCCTGGGAGAGCAGGGAGGGGAACGAGGGATGAAAGCGGGGGAGGGAAAATAGTGCTGATCGTTAGTCATTGTCGTATAAGAAACAACGAAAAGGAGAAAGATAAATTGGACTTAGTAGTGGACGGACGACGACGTGTTCCCAAACTATCTGTGCGCCGACTCCATCGCTGTAATAGAGGCTGAATGAAAAGACCAGAAGTAGTCATGGGTCATATACGTGGGAAATCAATCTGATTACAATGTACGTCAACGGACGGAACCGTTTGTTCATTTGTCTAAGATTTCGAACTCGTAGAAGAGTCCATCGGCAGAGAGACGAAAGCGGCCGCACAACAGAAGACAGTTATATATATGGGGTATTTACAAATCAACAATCAGGAAAGTAAGTCTGAAGGTGACTGTGCAGGGCTCTGTATGCACATCGATAAATCGATTGACCGAGGCCCAAGCCTCAATCAATCCTCGTTTTCAGCTAAGACGTCCAAATAAGCATCAAAAAGGAAAAAAGGAAGACGAAATGTTAACAACAAATCACAGTCAGAGGAAAATAGAGGCGTGAGATTACCAGGACAATTGATGCTTTTGTGGACGTCTTAGCTGATTATGGATTAATTTGAACTTTGACCTTAATCCTAGTTTTGTTTCTGGCATGGGCGCTTACTTTGGTGGCTGCGATGTTAAACTCATGATCCGTTTCAAAAATGCGGGCTGCCACTTGCGACAGTTAGTCACTCCGTCGCACAGGCACCTTCTGTTCGTGCATGTGCGATCTGAGCATGCGCTCAGTTCCACATGTGTAATTACAAGGACAGAAGACGAAGGTGCGATTGCCGGAACAAGAAGTTTATTGGCCTGACTTTTCGGATTCGCAATCGAGCCCACCATCAGGGACAGTCGCAGAAAAGGGAGGCATGGGCTCCAATATACCATGCCTGGCTACTCGCTATGATTTAATTGGCCTTTGACCCTTATGACCCTGACGCACAAGATAGCTTCGGGCTGGTGGGCAGTTCCAACGCCTAGTCGCACAGCAAAGTCGCCCTGAAACGTGCTTTATGCATGGCAGAGTACGCCATGTCCTCGGTGGCGTTTCCGGCGCGGTCCTCCAGGGGCGAACACGTAGGCATCGGATATATCTCAGTCTCAGACGGGGACAACCTATGGTCCGGACTCGGATCCAGGGTGTTATGGATTATGCGCCAGTGGTGGAGTATCTGACCCAAACGCTCGATGGCGAAACTGCGGTTAGTCATCTCAGTCAGGGGTTTGGTTGGATGATGAAGTCAACTCAGCCCCCACTGGCTTCGCTGTAATGTCTACTAATTTCTGATTGCTTCCCGCTACAAGATCCTCAACGTGGGCGGAGCCTCGATGCAAAACGGAGCACTTGTGTTCAGTCTTACGATCAGGATTAGTTGGTGAGCGCCATTCTCGAGCGACTTGAGATGGAATACACACTCGTAGAACAATGCATGTCCTTAGGGTTTTCACTCCACTTTTATATGGTCTTGTGGTTATTGATTTCTTTCCGAGTTCCCGTGACAAATCATGCCGGTGCCTGTACGGTCTGGGAAAAGTGACGTGTCAGTTAAATAGACGTACGAACTCCGTGTATATTAGAGTTAACCTGCAAACAGAATTGTCCCCTGCAAAGTGAACAGAAGAAAAGAATTCCTGTTAATAATTCTCAAGAAAAAGGCAACGGCTGTGGATAGGAATATGAAATCAGGTAATAAGTGCCACTTAGGCATTCACCCCGCGAAACAGACTAACAGCGAACATCAGCATCCCGCAGTGAACGATCACCTTGTTATTGGGTTCCAGGCTGTTCAGCCTTTCGAAGTCCACTCAAATAACATTAAATAGTCGGATGAATGTGTACAGAAAGTGCAGCAACCCGCTGCACTTATAGTGAGGTCGAGTCAAGCAACCTCGCGTGGCGTTTTTCAAACGGCAGCAACCGAAGGCAATTAAATCGTGTAGAATTGGGTCAGGGTGAAAGTGCAGCGTGATCCTTTTTAGCTAATGTTTATGTTTAGTGGAAAAACCACCTCGTGACCGCTACGAGCACACGTAAATGGCTTTCAGACCGCGCAGCCTGCGCAAGGGTTCACCGGTCATCCACATGACGAGTCAGTCATTCGTCACCACTGCAGTGACATGGTGGACGCCAGCTGCCACTTCAGATGAGGGCTTAATCAACACCCGGATAGGAGTCCCTAACCCAGAAGTAAGATGACGCCGGGATGAGCAGTCCCTACGATATGATACAATATTAGTGCAGGGCCTCAAGCTAAGACGTCTCCTGGCATGGATTACGCTGATCTGCGATACTGTTGACACTGGGGACGACCTACTAAGGCTATCCAAGTTCCACGGGCGAAGGACGCCTTGCCATTGCACGCCACGTAAAAATTGTGTTTGCGAATTTATGTGCACTTGTGGATGCAAGTACATTGGGCGAACGCAAACGCAACTGGCAGCCAGGACATTTGAGCACCTGCCTAATGGCTTCTTAAGCAGGAAAATAAGATTCCACGGTCTTCTATTACAAAACATCTTGATAGTGGCCATTCGGTTGACCCCAAAACATCTTTTCGAGTATTAGTTCGAGCACGAACAATTCGGTTATTGCGCTACCTGGAGACAGGCTACATACGGCGGGAAAATCCCGACCTATGTAAACAGTTAGACCACGTGGTCAACCTCAGCTTGCCCTGGTAGGCCTAAGCCCTTTTGATTTGCGAAATCCCTCCGCGTGTTTACTTCCCCATTTTATTTCCCATGTTGCGTTTTGAAGTTACCATTCTATTGATTAGTCTACGGGCAGTATACGATGACCTTGTTCTACATTGATTTCTTCTCTGTCGAAGTTCAAACCTCTGTACCTTTCTCACTTGTTATCTGTGTTATGCAACGACAGGCTGCAGTTGATAAGCCGTCGCGAAATTTACTGGTACCAATAAATTCTGCTGTCCATGCCTGCTTTAAATTCATTCCGGGAAAATATTGCTTCAATGATAGTTGGTTGAAGCATCGGTGGCTGAAACGCGCGAAGTCCTCAGTCCACCCCACCCAACAGCAAGCCTTCGGCGGAAGCGTTCTACACTGCCTTTCACTGCCAAACACAATTTGAGATCGAAGCACTGTGAAACCCTGGTTTTACCTGCGCGGAACGATCGGTAGGCCGGAGTCCGAAAGCAATCCTTTGTGCTGATGACAATGCACATGAGACCTAGGACTATGATGAAGACTGAGTAGACGATCTTCGAGGGCACATGGCAGTAGAAGGAGTAGTGAAGCCAGGGCACGAAGGAACCGATCGTCAGCAGTGCGATACCAATGTAGTCCAGCCTGTCAAGGACAGAAGGTAGGTGAGGAGGAATGACTGTCATGAGTTTTAGCAGCAACAACAGTGAAAAAAGGATTGATCTGACAAGCACAGGTTCAAAGTACACAAATTCATTATCAATAGTAACCACGCATGCCCGTTCGACGATTAGTCCCCATTTCACTACCTTTCCGGCCTTTTGGGATGTACTAAACTATGAGAGACAGGCCACCGCCTCAATACATGCACAGTAAACGACCTACAGCATGAAATCTTAGCGAAAATTCCGAAATGTGTTTTGACTGGGAAGGATTACGTAGACGGGGTTGGAATACTGCTTATCGTGCTGCATCATCTCGAGATATTTCAGTCACGGGCTTCTTCTCGGTCGCTCACAAAAAACCACATTCCGTATAGAGTCGCTAATTATGTAATATTAAAGTTTCCCATCGATTTTCAGTGTCCTTAGAAGTTCAACTATATTTTATAGAAAAAAATACTTTTCCTTGTACTCAGTTTGTAGAAAAGTACGTCTTCTTCGAATCATATGCTTGGAGAAATCGTATCCTTCAGTTGAAAATGTTGGTTGTGCAATTTCTTCATATCGCGAAATATATCCACCCAGGCAGCATCATATATGTCCTTTTATTACTACTGCTTATGAAGTACACAACACGGGACACATTGGATTACATTTCTCCCTAACAGTGTACAGAAATGCATTATTTTCCTTACATGGAAAGCATACAGCATGTAGTTTGTAAACCTTAAATCCAAGTGCTACAGCAGGTCTGATTAAAAATTAGACGGGGTTTGGTAGATGCGAATACGCTGACTTTACAAATATTACACATTTGCATCTTTCGTGTCATTTTAATCCAGGAATAGACTGTGCCACGGGGGGAGGAGTGCTTATAGGCCAGTCACGGTTATTTCAGTTATCAGTTCACGCGCGCTTCTCTCTGCATGATTCGAGCCCTGATTGCGCTCTCTTCACCATCCTAACCCAGCGAGTGGCCAAGCATACATGCTAATGGGATTGTTCCGACGGTGTGGAACTCCGTCGGTTCCACTACAGTGGCCAGGCGCTGCGGATTACCACGCGGCACCCTCAGTGGTCTTCCAGTTGTGATGGCGTCCCCCATATCCTCTTAATCCAATGAGTGGCTGTCGGGGGGAGTGTGTACACGCCACCTTCCCTGCGCATGCTTCGAGCTCTGCTTGCGCTCCTTTTCCCTTCCTAATCTAACGAATGACTAAGTTGGGTATGGTAACTAAAATTGTTTTAGCAAGCTAACCATATGGTATCAATCAAGTGGGGCTACAGAAGCAAATCTCGCCAAAAATTATTCAGAAGTCGAAAACTTCTTAAGACCTAAATAGCCCACGAGATCGGGCCTTATGCGCTCAAGGCCTGGGGTTGAGTATGGCTGGCAGGTGATGGCTGCTAATCCAGAAATGGCCATTCCAGTCTCCCTTGTCTTTGTGGATAATTCCATTTTGCCTATTCTACTATTCGCCTGAGAGGCTCTAGAGTAGGCCCCAATGGGGCGAGCAGGTTCCGTAACCTGGTCGCTGTGCTTCCCACTACCACATGTACAGTAGATGTGCTAACTCATGAAATGTCAACCAAAATTTCGAAATGCGTTCTCGTTTCGAAAAGATAAATTAAGTAGTGTTGTAAAACTAATCAAGATGCAGCATAACTCTATAATGATCCAGTTACCTCAGGGTGTCGGCTTTCGAATGAACTTCCTTCCGGCTGCATGCGAGAACTATACTCTGTACAAAAATGATTACTTATGTAGCATGAACTTTTCTCATTGATTTTCGATGCCCTCGAAAATTAAATTATATTTCATGGAAAACATGCATAAAAATATTCATTCTTTTACTTATTCGGTGGAAAATCACGTCTTCTTCCAATTTCATACTCAAAAGAAGAGTATAATTCGGTTTTAAAAAACTTTTCTAACTCCGGAATAATTTTGAACCCGACCTGCTGTTACACTTGCATTCAGAAATTCAAAACTACAAGCTGTATATTTTCCGTGTGCGGAAAACCATGCATTTCTGTACGGTGTTAAGAGGAGACCATATGAGGTTCAAAAAATTAAGCAGTGGATTTGAGCAATATTGTTCACTTTACAAGCCACATTCGTAAATGCAGATCCATGACGTTTCATGAACGGCCACTGAGCAGTATTAAAAAATCTCGCAATCAGAAACTTTTTTAAAACCGAATTATACTCTTCTTTTGAGTATGAAATTGGAAGCAGAAGTGATTTTCTACCGAACAAGTAAAAGAATGAATATTTTTTGCACGTTTTCCATGAAATATAATTGAATTTTCGAGGGCATCGAAAATCAATGAGAAAATTGCATGCTAATTAAGTAGTCATTTTTTGCAGAGTATAGTTCTTGCCGAAAATAAGTTCCTTCGAAAGCCAACACCCTGAGGTAACTGGGTCATTATAGATTTATGCTGCATCATGATTAGTTTTACAACACTACTTAATTTATCTTTTCGAAACGAGAACGCATTTCGAAATTTTGGTTGACATTTCATGAGTTAGCACACCTACTGTATATACATCAGAGGGAGGAGAAGACCGGTCGATCGGCCAATCATAACTCCGTCCACCATCTGTGACCAGAAAGGGAGACATGCGCTCACACACGACACAGTCGGGGCCTAACAGATAGGGTATTTATTTAGACAGGAATGGACGCACATCGAACCATTAGCTGGCCGAAGTAAACATGCTCTGTATGGGTGGCAAAGGTTACTAACGGGTAATCAACCACTAGAATGAAGTCGGCAGAGGGAACAGACGACAGAGAATGCAGGTAGACGGATAACGAACTGTCTCGGGCTTATTCTGCCTTCATCCAGCAAGTTAAGGTGCTGAGTTGGGGTGCTCTTGATGGGCCGCTGAAAGATGCTTACGTCGATGCCTCAAATGAGATCATTACCGTAGGAAAAAGGTAGACGAAAGTGCGGATCTGGACTAGTCATTTCAGCTTTTATGTCATTATCAGTCAGTCATACATAAGCAACAGGGGCAGGAAACCTAAAATTTGAGCCTGGTCGTTGATAGATTGGATCAGACGACATTTTAGGGAACTGTAGTCCACTTAAAATCCGACGGTAGAAGGATACAACGTTTCGGTATTAAACTCTCAGCAATAGAAAGAAGGGTAACATGTGGTTATGTAGCCCCACGTGATGGACACAATACTGTTGGGGTTGGAGCTAGGGTTTAGGGGTTATGGTTACGGATTGTTAGGGCCAGGGCGACTATCTTTCAACCACTTAAAGTACGACCGCGCATTCTCAATAGCTCTTCTTTTGCATACAACCACTTGACCTCGTCGCCTGTGCGTTCCCCGGCCCCACCTGTAAAAACCCCTATTACTACCAGTCCCGTATAACAGGTGGCTGGGGTCTGTTTACTTCAGTTGGGGCTACATAATCACATCTGACCGAAAGAAGAGATATGCCTTCACTTAATTACAGGGCAGCCGAAGTGTACAATGCACTTTGCCCTGGCAAAACTACATACTTCTCCTGACGCTTCCAAGGGGACCCTTGATGCTTGTAAAATGAGCTAATGCATCCGATCACGAAGGAAATGCGCTGACGGCATTAATACATTCACGAATACCTGCGTGGGCGTCTACAGTCACATAATTAAGATTTTTCTAAAATTTGGTCATTGCTTTGCTCTAGCTACTTTATTGCACGAAAATGAAAGTTCGTGGAAATGAAGCACAAGAAATTAACTGCTTGTACAACATGTCAAATAAATCAATATCACGCAATCAGTTCCGAAAAAGCCTGTTGTAGTAACCCCAGCCTTTAAGGGTGACATCTCAAATACCATTAAGCAACGATTGAGATGCGCCATCGAACGAACACACCAACGCAGGAGAGCTCATATTCTGCAGTCTCACAAAAGCTATCCTAATTCCACGGGCAAAAGATGCCTTGCCATTGCACGCCACTTCGAATTGCGTCTACGGGTTCGCTCGCACGCACTTGTGGATGCAAGTACATTGAGCGAACGCAAAGGCAATTAGCAGCAATTACCAGCTCAGTTGAGCAGGTGAATAAAATTCCTCGTTTTTCAATCACGAAGCACTGCCTAGATAGCGGTCACTCCATTGACTCCCCAGCATCTTTCCGGGTATTAGTTCGGGCACGAACAACTCAGATATTGCGCTACTTGCGGGCTGCCTATATACGTTGGGAGAAACCTGACCTATGTTAGACCATGTGGTCAACTTCGACTTGCCCTGGTAAATCCCAGCCTTTGATTTACACCCCCCCCCCCTTCTGCGTGCTATCTTTCCCATTTTCTTTCCTCAGTTGTGTTTTTATTTATTGATCGATTTTTTATTGATTGGTCCGTGTGCAGTTAACGATTACTTTGCTGTTTTGCATTGATTTTTTCTGCGGAAATTCAAATCTCTCTGTCTTTCTCATGCGTAATATCTGCTATGCGGCGATAGGTTGCAGTTAATATGCCGTCGCGAAATTTTTTGGTTCCATTAAATTCTGCTGTGTATGCTTGTTTCAAATTAGATTGTGTCTAGGTACCCGTCGGTCGGGCTTTGGGCGGCTTCTCTATTTTCTAACCACAGCCTCATTGGGCAGCAGCATGCACGGGAGGCGCCAAAATGTGAAACAATAATTGGATCCGAATGGAAGGAGTAGTTTAGTGAGGGAAGTTAATTGCATTCAGATCATACTTGCTAAATAGGACTCCCACATGCTCCGAGTGACAGTGCAGAGTGTGGAAGAGCCAGGAGAAGGCCAATGCAGCGATTGCACTCAAGAAGAAGATTGATATTATTATTTTCTCCTGCCATGGGAACTTGATGCCGGGCTGGATCAGGAAGGAGACGCAAAGAACTAGGAAGCAGATAGATCCTGTGGGGGAAAAAAAGGAAGGAGATTATGACAGCAACGGCAGGACCGCAGCAGACAGACGAGAGAGAGAGAGAGAGAGAGAGAGAGAGAGATGGTAAATTAACCAACGGAATACTCCAAAGTGAGCACAAACAGCATAGAAAATAAAATTTATCTGATTTTCTGAGGCGTCGCAGTGTGCTAGAAAATCTGGTGGTGCGACCCAACCAGATTTTCAGGCACACCTGAATATCATTCTTCCAGATGTACAATTCACTATGGAGGAAGAAGAGGATGGTAAGTTGTCACTCCTAGGCGCAGTGGTCTGCATGAAAAGTGATGTACAGTAGGTGGGCTAACTCATGAAATGTCAACCGAAATTGAGAAATGCGTTTCCGTTCTGAAAAGGTTAATTAAGTAGGGTTGTAAAACTCGTCAGCCTGCAACATAATTCTATGAAATTTCAGTTGCCACAGGATGCCGGCTTTCGAATGAACTTTCTTTCAGCTGCATGCAAAAATTACAAACTGTAAAAAACGACTACTTAAGCAACACTGATTTTCGATGCCCCTAAAAGTCTAGTTATATTTCATCGAAAACATGCATAAAGATATTCATTCTTTTGCTCTTTCGGTAGATAATTACGTCATCTTTTAATTTTATACTCGAAGGAGGGACATAATTTGGCTTTAAAAAAGTTGCCAATTGTCGGACTTTTAAAAACCGTGAAAGGGCCTTTCATAAATCATCATATCTCAGCATTTAGCGATGTGGATTGTAAAGTTAACAAAATGGGTCAAATCCACTGCCAAATTTTATGAACCGCATATGATCTCCTCTTTAATACCGTAGAGAAATGTGTGGTTTTCCGTACGCGGAAAATACGCGGCCTGTAGTTCGGGAACCCTGGATGCAAATGTAACGGTAGAGTTCAAAATTATTCGGGAATTGAAAGAGCTTTTGAAAACCGAATTATACCCTTCCTTTGAGTATGAAATTGGAAGAAGACGTGATTTTATACCGAATGAGCAAAAGAATGAATATTTTTATGCATGTTTTCCATGAAATATGATTGGACTTTCAGGGGCATCGAAAATCAATGAGAAAAATTCATGCTACATAAGTAATCATTTTTGTACAGAGTGTAGTTTTGCATGCAGCCGGAAGGAAGTTCATTCGAAAGTAGGCATCCTGAGGTAACTGAAATACTATACAATTATATAACAAGCTGCATTTCTTGAGTTAGCCCACCTACTGTAGAACGTTAAACAACCATTTAGAGGAGGCCGATCAATGGTTAAAAGAGCCTATGATACTACGGTAACCACCCCAGTTCGAATCAAAAAAGCTGCATGAGACCGGTCTAACTACGGTGTCCCTGAAAGTTTTTACACAGTCAAAGTGTACTCAGTAGGTGTTGTCAAGTCAACAGCAGAGAACCGAGGACGTGCCGACGTACTGGCATGCCGTGGCGGGTTTCGCTGACCTATTCGATGAACTCGGCCAATCATAGGTCGAGTCGGGGATTTAAGTAGCATACAGGCCCGAAACCACAATCAGCAGTTTGTGTATTTATGCGATCCACTACCAACTAGTTAAAAAGTCGATGTGGCAATGCCGATGATTTCAGGAAAACCGGTCCCTCAGACGGGGAGACGTGGATGAGCTTGCGGTCAGGCGAAATTGACTCTGCTGGTCCACCACTCAGTTCGCCTTCGACCACAAGGCGATTCTGGGTGAATCCGATGACCGCATTTTGCGCGAATCACACTCACACGATGACTCTGTCAACGGGTGTATCGAGATGCCGCCTCTACTTACAAAGGTTGTGAGAGTAAATCAGTAGCCGGCTGAAGCCCACCCTATGCGGAGTTGGTTTTGAGTTCTAACGGAGCCGTAGGTTCCCATTTACGCAATGCTCTTCCTCCCTTCCTTTGTACACACAAAAGGTGTCGTAACTCGCAAAATATTGTGAATCAAATGCGGACAATTGAGGGGAAATACGTAAACCGCTGCTGCCTCTGAATTAGATTCATTCGAAACGTAAAACCCCTTTTCTGATGAACAATTTATTGCGAAACCACTACATTAAAGAAAAAGCGGACCAATTTGAGTAATCTGTGCGGTGAGGTGTCGTTTGTCAAGGTCTACCTGTTGTTCACTGTCAATGGCCTGTTTTCCTCAACATCACATGACCCGGCGACGGAAAGCGTAGCTGGACACCTATTGGACAGTGCTACGGGCATTCCGATACAGTTTGCTTAAGTGTTGTCGGCAGATAAAAGACACTCAAATGGGCTCGCCACTGTCGAGGCTACTTGCTGAGCTGGTCTTACAACGACATGAAAATGTTATCTAAACTTTCAGTACAACAATGTGACTGCACCAGACAGATGGCATATTGGCTACCATAAAAACTGAGCAGTTTCATAACTATATCCTAGTCTGAATAGCATCTTTGCAGCTATAAATTTACTCGCGTATAGGCGCAGCAGGAGATATCCTTCTCTTACTAAACGTGAGCATACTAAAACAGTGATGTCGACTTCGCAACAAGCGCTAATGCCGAGATCATTCTCAACTATGTGGGAAACTGGCAGAAGAGCATTACCAATAAAGACGAAGGAGACCGGAATGGCCATTTCTGGTTTATTAGCTGTCGTCGGCCAGCCCTACCCAACCCCGAGGTGTGGAACACCTGCGGTTCGATCCCTTGAGCTGTTGGCTTAGAAGTCCAACGTCCCTAACCACGGGCTCGTTGTCCTGCCGGTTGCGATAGAGAATTGAAGGGCGCTCGAGAGAGAGCCCCAAGGCACAACGGGACAAGTCAGTTCCATAAAAACAATCGGTGGGCGCCCCTCTACCGGTGGGAAACTGTGTCCGAACTCTTCTTCGCCGTCCCCTTCTTTACTGCGGCAGGAACGATCAACCTAAGAAATGACCGGCTTACTTATGTCGGTCATTCTGGTACAGTGGATACCCGCTCGGCATTGTGAAAAAACTGTCTCAGGCGTCTGAGACAGTCACAACTTTTCAGCTCTAAAGGAGGAATCGTGGGGCAAAAACTTCACACCGTTCTTTGTCCAAGGGACTTCTGGAACTATCCTCCGGAAACTAAATCAGTTTGCATCTGCACCGCCCACACAAGCCGGGACTCCTTGCATGCAGTACTA